AAGCCAGCAGCTGGAGCCAGACAAATTTGAGCAATGCGCAGCCAAGAAAGTCCATTTCAATGCTTTCTTTTGGTAGTTTTTTCTTTGAAGTTTAATATTTGTTTTTCGTTCCCAGGCCCAGGAGACTTTGAAAAGATGCATCGAAACTAAAAAAGTATAAGAGAGAAAAAAAGGGCGAGAAAACCATTGTCACTTGTAGAATCGATGATCTAGTCTAACACGATGTGATTAGTTTATATCCGAATGATTGACTTGCTAGTCCATGATCACCACACGCAAATCCGGCGGCCGGACATGCTCAAACAGCTGCTTGCTGGGGATGATATTGTCAAAATCCAAATCAGCCACAAACGCGGGATCAAGGCGCAAGTTCTTGGCTTGTCTCCGTCGGTATGACAGCTTACTTAGTTGACAATTGAAAGCTTCCAAAAGAGATCATGCGGGATTAAACCCAAGTTGACAATTGATAGTGTCAATGCTGAGAAGCATTTTATCCGATCGCCCAAACGCGGTCGTGTCGTGTGAGTATGATCGTATCATTTATGAGCTCAATTTGCTAATGTTTAGCATTGCCATGTTCAAAGCATCAAACAGTCCAAGTCCTGTTTGAAATGGCTTAATGTTGGAGTATTAGCTATAACATTTAGTCAACGGCGTCTCTGACCGGTCAACGACCTGAGAATATGCCTGTTTTATGCTAAGAACTCTTGGAAGCACAAATGCTTTGTTCTTGGTGAGGTCAATGCCTACGCTTGGATCTATCTTAAAATTCGCATTTGCCAATGGGTGCTGTGCGATGGTCCAATGCTCGATGTGGATATGGGGATGTGCTGATGTTGTCGCAACGAACAGTTTGGATTAGTATAGTGTTACTTGTACATTGTTTCAACAAGGTCAACTTCTACATGACGCAATTGTGAGGCAAATGCCACACATTAGATTTAATGCAAGCTCTTACTCTTCTCCTCAAATGCTGTACCTTGGACGGGCATTTTCATTTCTCGCGTATACCATGGATCCGTCCTCCACGATCAAAGATTCGTACCTTCGCGTGGAAGTCTAGTGGCCATGGATGATTTAATGACACCAGTTGAGACTAGAGTTTTTCTTTGACTTGGGAGTGATCAGGGCGATAAAATATACACATGGCTTGAGACTTTTGCGTGTAAGTATAGCTGTATACACCACCCAAAACTCTACTTGTTTAGCTTGTAATGCGTGGTTTCCGTATTTTAATCGGGAGAACCCATGATGATGTCACTCGCATTGATCATCGTTGACTCTGCTAGGACAGATAAACAATGGGCTCTTCACGAGCACGTATGGTCATTCGATCAAGCGAGCTAGAGAGCATATATCCCGGTCAACCCTTCTTAGACAACACCACCAAGATTTCAAACTATCCTAATCTACACAAAACTCCGAGAAATTTTTCTTTTATTGCTGTTGAAAACCGGTCAAGCTTGGGAAGAATATAAAAGCGTCCCCAAGTCGCAAGTCCTCGTGGCCCACAATCGTGGCCGTCCGTGCGGGCCCACGTTGCGGGATCCCACGGTCCAGACGCTCCCATGCACATAAGTAGCCGTATCCAGTGGAAGCACCCAGATGCAAGTCCTCGAACAAGTCAGAGTTTAGAACGCCGTGGACCCGCAAACGATGGTTTAGTGCCAGCGACGTAGCCAGCAGGTAATAAAAGCAAAGCTTTCCCCACAAAGTCCCTTGAATTCGAGGGTTTATAAGGGTTGAATGTTTTTCTTGCTTCTAGGATCCTCCCCCCATTGTGTGTGTTCTTTCTCTTCCTCTTTCAAAAATTTCTTCAAGTCGTTGTATCTCGCTGCAATCCATCTCCTGGACGGAGAAGTCTTTGAAAGGATAGTTATTTGTCGCTCAGTGTCAGAAGAGTCAATGGAATTGAGGGCAACCGAATCGCAAAGCTCTCTTCCACTGAAGCTTTGAAAGACAAAAGATCACGCTTTGGAACGTGTCGTATCCATCTTCTTTTCTTTGCTGGTTTCTACGTACATGGCACACTCTTTTCGACTTTCTTCTTTGATAACTTGCTTGTATTAAGTTTCCCAAACTTCCCCTCTTTTCTCTTTTTCTATCTCTCTTTCTCTCTCAAAGCTGATCCAGGCAACACGGTGTAGTTAATGGTACCAGGCCAGAGATGGAAAAGGGACAAGACAGCGTGAAAGAGAATCGAGAGATAGATCTGTCGCTGAAGCCACTCGCAGAGCAAAGCTTGATTGCTGGCGAGAAGCTCCACTCTCCTGGAAGCACCAGCACGCCGTCGCAGGATCACAGCCAAGCTCCGGATGACCGTGATCGTCACGAGGGCGATGGCGATAGTGGTGATCTCAAGACAATAAAAATGATCAAAGACGAGCACGTTAACTCATATCGGTGTGGTCTGGTCGGCTGCGACGCCACATTCGCGGATCAATGGGCGATGGTAAGCTTTTCTTTTTTTCTTCGTCTCGTGGTGTCAAACGGGAGATTGAAAATCTTGCTGCAGCACCGACACAGTCTCAGTGCGCACGGCGATAAGCCCACAGTGGAAGAAAATAGCCGACTGGAGAAACCAAGCGTCAAAGTGGAGATGCAAGACCAGGTAAAGCCTTCTGATGGTACCTGTTGGAGATTTGATTCGAGCTCTTGAGAAATCCTTGCAGCTTGCGATGGCTCAAACGGAGCTCCAGCGCATGAACGAGGAGAACGAGAAACTCAAAGTCATGCTCAATCATATGTCGGGCGAGTACTACAACCTCCAAATGCAAATGGCCGCCGCTGCCCAGCAGCAGCAGTCCCCGGATCAAGCCACCACCCACAAGCAGCTCCTATCCCAAGTGAGTTCTTCCCGATCCATCCAAAGTTTCAGTTTTGATCGAAGCTAAATTGAATTCAAATGATCCAGGTTTCGTTTCCAGCGATGCAGCCAATTCTCGAGGAGCCATCATCCTCGGGTCCAGTGAACACCACTCTTGGGCTCAGCTCGTCTTCCACCGACAGACCCAGCCCGAAGCGACGAAACCGGCCAGTCTCCCTCTCCGACGCCGACTTCGATATCTGCAGTGCCAAGAAGGTTTCCAAGACCACCCTCAGCTCCAGCCTGCTCGCGGACCAGGACAGTGACAAAACCGAGAGCACTGGAGCAGCCAGGAGATCATCCACTCACCAGGACCCCCTGAGCAAAGATCACCACTTCAAATCATCGCTGGGAGCCCCCGCGAGGCCTGTTCTGATGGCCAAGGATCACGCCTCCGCCGAGAGCAGCAGTGCGGCCAAGACGACAATCATGAGCAATATGGCGGGGAGGAAAGAGAAAGATCGATCCGAGGGAGGCGAGTGGGCTGATCCGCCCAGTAAGGCCATGAAATCCTCCTCTATTTCTGCTAGCGCTGCTGGGGCCGCGGGAGGATCGATCGACCACCCGGATCCAGTCGTCCGGAAGGCACGGGTCTCAGTTCGAGCCAGATCAGACGCTCCAACCGTGAGTTTGTTCGCGCCCATTTTTCTTTTCTGGTTTTGACTAAGATCACGCGCGCAGATGAACGATGGCTGCCAGTGGAGGAAGTACGGACAAAAGATGGCGAAGGGAAACCCATGCCCTCGAGCGTACTATCGCTGCACGGTAGCACCGGGTTGTCCAGTTCGAAAGCAGGTATTAAACAGACTATGTCGGAGAAACTCGGATCAATCCAGGAGTTTCTTGTGATCAAGTTGTATGTTTCCTCAAATTCTTACTTCTGAGAATTTTCTTTTGGATGATCCAGGTCCAAAGGTGTGCCGACGATATGTCCATCTTGATCACCACTTACGAGGGCAGTCACAACCATCCTCTCCCTCCGGCAGCCACGGCTATGGCGTCCACCACTTCCGCCGCCGCTTGCATGCTCCTCTCGGGCTCCACTCTGAGCGAGAGTGTAATCAACAGCTCAAACGGCTCACCTTACATGGCCGATCACCACGGCCACCATTTGGCCGCCGCGGGATCATCCAACCCCACCATTTGTGCCTCGTCCCCGTTTCCAACTATCACGCTCGATCTCACAAGTAGCAACTCCGCTGCAGCCCAGCTCGGCTTCCGTGGATCGCCCTTCGCCCACAATCCGGGAGGAGCAATGCTCACAACCGGCGCCTTCCACCACTCGACGAGATCACCATATAACTTCTTGAGCGAGCTCGCGCCAATCCAAAACTCGTCAGCTCCACTTTCTTCCCGGTCCAGAATGAGCGCCAGCACTGCTCATCAAGCAATGGATCCCATCAACGCCGCCACCGCTGCCATCACGGCGGATCCAAACTTTACCGCGGCACTGGCAGCGGCGCTTACGTCCATGATCGGGCAGTCGAGCACTGGAACAAATGCTTACAGCAGTGAGCTAGCACTGCGTGGTGTTCCCGGAGCCACGCTCTCGGGCTTGCTTAGCTCCGCTCTTCATTCTTACAACTCTGGCCAGGCTCCCACGCATTTGAGCATCACAAGTGGCTCGGCAGATCAAGCAGCGGCGAAACCAGTTGTGATCACGGACAGAAAACACAACGCAACGCTGTAGAATCAGTCAGTGGAGGCTGTAGAGGATAAAACAAAGCCTTCCAATAGTTTTGACAGCTAATGCTTACCAAATACTTTTGGTTTGCTGAAGCAAACCTTCCTAGCATAGATATCCACTTAGTTTACTAATGGGAAAACTTTATAAAGTAGCTCATCATGCTACTTTTCTTGCTTTTATTTTCTAAGAAGCATTACTGTAGAATAATCCCAGGATGAGTTAGAAGTAATGGTAATAGGTTTCGTTACTACTGGCAGCTTACAGAGCTTTTGCCACAGTCTATAAAGTTACTCGAATCTGCGCTCTAAGCGGTCTTCTTGGTGGATGGAAGCGAATATCAGAGTGGAAACACACTAACACACACAATCTTGTTCAGCGAGAATTTCATCAACATCAGTAAGTTGTCTGCCATCACTCCGAAGTGAAGCCAAGGTCGCATTTGCAAACAATAAGCAAACAGAAAAAAATAATCTAGGAACTTACCACAGCTGTAAGATTAGATTTAGCAGCCATATACCATATATCCTAGAAACAAAAGAAAAAGTGAATCAATTTACAAAGAATAACTGAAGCGAACTTTAACAGCTCCATGTACGAAAAGAAGAAGAGAATCAAAGAGAGCTTTTGATCAGAAGAATGTATATATGTGTCAAAAAAGTGTGTGTGTGTGTGTTACAAGAGCTCCTTGCAATGGAGGAGGAGAGCGCCTAGAAAGAAAAGCAAAAGAAGAAATCCTAGCGAGTAGCGGCCTTGCCACCGGCGGCGGCGGCAGCGGCAGCGGCAGCTTCCTGCGCGGCCTTGCGCTCGAAGTAGACGCGAACGATCTCGGCGTGCTCCGCGAACCCTAATTGCTGGAGCGCCTTGAGGATGTCGTCGCCATTGATGGTCTTGCGCTTCTCCTTGGTGCAGCGGTCGGCGGCGATGCCGGTGACGAAGCAGATGAACTCGGACACGCACTCTTGGACGAGATCCTTGGCGTCCTTGGTCATCTTGGAGTTGTCCGGCAGCACGCGCTTCATGATCTTGCCGATGTTGGCGATGGGCAAGTGACGATCCTTGTCCTTGTTGCCCTCCTCCATCTCCTCCTTTTTCCTATAACTCCCCCCTCTCTCCCAAGAAAATCTCCCCCTTCTCCTATACTTCCTTGCCTCCAAAAATATTCCAGAATCAAATTAATTCCTTTTGATTTTTAACCTATTTCATACATGTCATAAACATCTAACCTAATCTAATCTAATCTTTGTCAAAATTATAATGCATAGAAAACCATAGTTTTTATGTAAATTCTTAATAATAAAGTTATTCTATTTATTTCTATAACAAGCAAAATCTAGTTAATTTCAGTTAAGGTGTGCTAAGAGTTTTTTCCTATAACTCCCCCCTCTCTCCCAAGAAAATCTCCCCCTTCTGCTATACTTCCTTGCCTCCAAAAATATTCTAGAATCAAATTAATTCCTTTTGATTTTTACCAGATCATAAACATCTACCTAATTTAATCTAATCTTATAATGCTTAGAAAACCATAGGTTCTTAATAATAAAGCTATTTTATTTATTTCTTTATTTGTTACTTAACAAGCAAAACCATGTTAATTTCAGTTAAGGTGAGATAAGAGCTCCAATGAGGGGAGAGCTTACACCCAAGCTCTTCCTCTCCAAGTTAAATTCCATGGCGCGGTCTTCCTGCTGTAGCGTTCCAATAACTCCATGGCTGCCATTCCCAGCAGCCAACTCCAGGTATGCCAAGCAGAAAACGTTGCTCGTCCCGGGCTTTGGCACCAAATACTTGTCCGCTGGAACGCTCCACCGGAACTTGCTGCTGAAAACCATGGTCACATTGCGAAACCTGGTAACATCGGAGCTCCTCATCTGGTAGCACAAGCCCAGCTTCCCATTGTAAGCGCTCGTGGAAGCTCTCTTGATCTTCCTCTCGCTCGCCTCTTGCTGGAACTGGGCCACGACGAAGCCATAGATCTTGGGCGGAAGAGTGGTGAAGCGCTGCGTGACGCTGATCTCGACGTTATCCTCCTGGCCGGTGAGAAACGCCTTGATTCCAATGCCGGTCATCTTCACCATGTAGCTCGCGGCACCATCCAGCTTGAGAGGGATCTGGACGAACTCCACGGGCACGGTCACGGGTGGGACGATTTGCGTGTACTGGATCCAGCCCGTCTTGCCGACGAAGATCGACGCGGAGGTGTCGCGCAGCACGTAGGCGAATCGAAGAGGAAGCCCAAGGCTTCTGGAGATCTGCGCGGGCAAGGCCGTGTTCTTGGATCCCAGCGCCGCGATGCTGCGGCTGTTCTTGCGGCAGAGGACGGCGATGTTGGCGACGAAGGAATCCGACATGGCCGCGACTATGCCAGTGTTTCCAGTGACGAGCGTCGAGATTCCCAGCTTGCTCGCCGCGGGGCAAGAGGTGTTGGAGAAAGAGACGACTTGCGCGTTCGTGTCCATGGCGAAGCGAGAATCTATGGCGCTATCGACCACGGGGGTGGTGTTAAGCGCGAGCCTGGCGAGGTAAGTGATGGAGTTCCCATCGCTGGCGAGCACTGCCGTGGCGTCCACGGTCGGGATCTGCGAGTGGACTGAAAGGGGCAGCAGTGATAGCAGCAGTGATAGAAGCATTGGCAGTGGCGACATCGTTTTCCAGCAAGATTTTCACTAGAAGACACACCAAGAACAGTAGATAAGAAGATCAATCCGCGACGTACTAGCTAGAGACAGCCTACGAAAGCTTGAAAAACACTGGATGGAAGTTCTCTAGATCTGCTTGGATGAGGAGACGAGGACCGGGATTTTTATAGCGAGGAAGTCAAGTGCGCGGCGACCAATTTGGACTTGTAAACATCGCGTCAATCACGTGTAGCTAGCAAGACGGTGGCAGCCTTTCAAGTAAGTTTCGTCCATAGCTTCGCGATATTACACACATGCTATTTGTGTGTGGTCTCATACGCTCAAAAAACATTAATGGTAACTTGGAATCCATGGAAGAGAACTATGGCGAAGAGGAAGATCAAAGATTTTCAAGAGAAAACACTCTTTTGCTTCCAAAACTTTATAGCCGATCTACGGACGAGAAGATTTTCTTCATTCTTTCTAGGAGAAGAAGAGGAAAAACACATGATTTTCGAGCTCCAGCTCTATTGGAAAACTAAACAGAGAGAGAAGTTGTTCTCAAGGAGTGGTGAGGGGTCCAATGAGAGGAAAACTTACACCCAAGCTCTTCGTTTCCAAGTTAAAGTCCATGGCGCGGCGTTCTTGCTGGAGCGTTCCAATAACTCCATGGCTGCCATTCCCAGGAGCTTGCAGATATGCCAAGCAAAACACGTTGCTCGTGCCGGGCTTTGGCACCAAGTACTTGTCCGCGGGAACGCTCCACCGGAACTTGCTACTAAACACCATGGTGACGTTGCGGAATCCTCTAACGTCGGAGCTCCTCATCTGGTAGCACAAGCTCAGCTTTCCGTTGTAGGCGCTGGCGGAGACTCGCTTGATCTTCTTCTCGCTTGCCTCTTGCTGGAACTGATTCACGATGAAGCTGTAGATCTTGGACGGGAGAGTGGTGAAGCGCTGGGTGACGCTGATCTCGACGTAGTACTTCTGCCGGATCAAAAACTCTTTGAATCCAATGCCGGTCACCTTCACCATGTAGCTCGCGGCAGTGGCGTCCAGCTTGAGAGGAATGTGGACGAACACGACCGGTACTGTCCTCCCCAGACCTGTGTACTGTATCCACAGCGTCTTACCAAAGAGAAGCGTTGCAAACGTTTGATCCCAAAGCACATAGGCGAACCTGAGAGGAGTTTTCTCGACTTTGGAGAGCTGCGCGGGCAAGCTCGTGTTCTTGGAGCTCAGCGGGGCGACGTTGCGGCCTTTCTTGCGGCAGAGGATGTCAACGTTGCCGAGGAACGAGTCGGACGTACTTGCAACCTGGCCATCTTGTGCTGTTTGAAGCGACCAGAGGCCCAGCTTGGTGATGCGTGTGTTGGCGGCGGCGCACGAATTACTGGAGAGTCTGACGTGCTGCGCGTTCGTGTCCATCGCAAAGAAGACGTCGGGCCTCTCGTCAAAGATGGGGGTGGAGTTCACTCTAAAGTCTGCGAGATAAGCGATGGAGTTTCCATCTTTGCCAAGTACTCCTCTGGCACCGATCGTTGGGACCGAATGCACAACCAGGGGCAGCAGCAGCAGCAGCAACAACAGCAGAACCAATGACATTTTCACGTCTGAAGATAAACGATTAGATCCTATCTGTGAGAACTCTCAAGAACATAAGAACTTACCTCGTTTAATTGAAGTAGACGGGACGAGGATAGAAGTGCAGAAGATTTGCGTTGGAAGCAAACTTCCTCCTGTCTCTACATGTGACAGACAAGAGTTATGCATGTGATTCTTTGAGTTACCAGAGAAAAAAGTAACTTCGTATAATCGCCTGTAAATCTGTCGTGTCTCACAGCTTGGAGAGAGGCTCGAAGGCAATCGTCTTGCTTCGTGATAGCCATGGAGCAAGAGCTTCGTATAGAGCCTGTACATGAGCTTCTGTATGCGAGGCACACAAAGTGATTCTAAGCCTAGACATAAGCATAAGAAGCAAGCAGTGAGTTCTAAATACGAGAAAATGTGGTTACCTGGATGAATTTGGAGGAACAACTGGTGGTCTAATTGGCAGTACATGAAAACCAGCCTTGAGAACGTCCCTACGTAACGAAAAAGAAATGTCGTTTGGACTTTGCAACATGAGGACTAATAAAAAGGAAAGTCATGGCTCTTACTTGCTCGCCAGGAGTGCATCTATCTCGCTGCCAATGACCACCGGAACGATTGGACTTTGTATGTCTAGCCCCGTCAAATCAGCAAATTGTTTTACTCTGCTCCACAGTGCTTGACGCCGCCATTTTTCTTCGCTAGCAACCACGAGAGCAGCTGCCATACAGCAAAAATCCATAAGCAAGGTCATGAAGAAGGAAACTGTTTTTAGCTTACAGCTTTACCATGAGCCGCTGCCACCACGGGAAGAGTGAGCGAAGTCGAAAAAACGAAAGAGCGGCCTCTAGATTGCATCAGCAACTTCCACTTGCGACTGCAGAGAAAATGCTTAAGAAACGGTTGAGAGGAGAGAATCTAATCATACCTGGTAGCAATGAAACCACCCTGACAACCAAATGCTTTGCTCAAAGTGCCGATATAAACATCGATTTTTCCTTCGACGCCATAAGCTTCGGCCACTCCACCTCCATTTTCACCACAGACCAAAGTTCCGTGGGCCTGTAGGTGCACTCCAATTCTAAAACTATAAAGATGATACAGAAAACTTACATCGTCGATAACCAGAAGAAAATTATACTTATCCCGCAGTTGGACAAGCTTGTCCAGAGGGGCGAAATCTCCATCCATGCTAAATAGACTACACCAAAGATTGGTTGAGAGCTTTGACAGATTTTAAAGTGGATTTACCTGTCAGTAACCACGACTTTCCTCTCAAGTTTGCAGGAAGATCTGCATAAGAGAGAGAGAGAGAGAGAGAGAGAGAGAGAGAGAGAGAGAGAGAGAGGATTAAAACACGCAAGTCAACAGAGGACAAGAACTTACAGCTTGCTTTCTAATTCTCTCATGTTATTATGGGAATAGACGTAAACCTCGGAGTTATTCTGCCTTTGAGCCACCCGGACACCGTCGATGATCGAAGCATGATTTAACTCGTCGGAAAAGATAGCTATCTTGTTCTGCGAGGAGAAGCCTGGAATGTTCATGGAGATTGCGGTCATAACAGCCATATTAGCTGCAAATCCTGTAGGACACAGCAAGCATTCCTACAGAAGAAAAAAAAAAAGTAAAAAGCTTGTAAGAAAGAAACGAACCTCAGAGTTTTTAAGCGATGCTATAGCCGATTCAAGTCTTCTGTGATGAATCGTATAGCCACAAATAAGAGCAGAGCCTCTTGGTCCCATTCCAAATTCGATAGCAGCCTGGAAAGGAGTAGAGAAAAATTGATAGATGAAAGACTGGATCTAGCACCTTGGATGCGGCGGAGCGAACAGCCGGATGCATGGAGAGTCCAAGATAATCGTTTCCAGAGAATTGGATGAGCGATCGCATTCTCTCTTTCTCTCCACACGATTCTCCTGAGAAACAAAAAAGTTTACTCCTCATACTTCTCTTTCGCGTACCTGTGCTAGGCTCATCATCGATCCAGCGCTGGAATGTCTCGGGAGAGACTTGGAGTTGTACCGCTTGATCTTCCCAGTCGCCTCGATTATCGGAAAATCCACCTGCATTGCCGCTGCTAGTGGCGCTGCTGGCGCCGCTAGCTACACTCACAGTGCGCATGGAGCGAAGGACCTTGGAGCCGATCAAGTGCGCGATCGCGGAATCCAGCCACGACCGCCACGCATCGTCTTCTTCCATGAAGAACATTCGTTAGGGTTCCAGGCACAAATATTTTTGTGGCTATGGCGCTTGTGAGCATCGATGAGGAGTCGTGCGTGCGCCTGTTGCCCACCGACACGTACGCGCGCTGCCACTCCGTCGAGAATTCCTGCGCGGCATTTCGATCCAAGGTCTCCAGCTTCAACAAGGTGTGATCATGCAAGAAAATCACTCGCATTCTTGATGGATCGCGTGTGTCTTTCTCCCTGGCATTCTAATCGATGGAATCGGTGCTTTTGTGCAGTTAGTGAAAGAGCTTCTGGGCCAAGTGGGCGAGCGCGCGTCCAAGATCGAGAATGCGAAGCTGTGCGCGATTGGGACGAGGAATTTGGTGCGAGACGAGATGGAAAAGCGGCCGCAGGAATTGCAGGTCGTGAAAGAAGGGATCGATCGAAGGAAAGAAGAACTCGAGGTAGCAATTTTCTTTCTTTATACGTCCTACTACATTTTTCATTCATAGAGATTGCGAGTGGAACATCTTTCTCTCATGGCTGTCAAGCAAGAACAAGAGGCATTGCTGGCCAAGCTCTCGAGCGCAAGCCGGAAGTACTAAATACCAGCACGCCACACGTAAGTTTTTCTTCGAGGAGGAAGCGAAGAACCAAAACTTTTCTTTTCTTTTTTTTTTGCAGGAGAGTTTCGTTTTTTTTTTTTTACGGTAGCAACAGATCGAAACAGGGAATCCAACAACTTTTATGGGAATCGAGAGGGCCTCTTTGCCAGGAAAGATGAAATCTTTCGGAAGCTTTGGAGAAGGGACGATTGACACTGGGAAAAGTTTATAAACATCACCCTGGTTGACTTTAGTAGGGCACCATTTGGAGAAGAGGCTCTTGGCTATGGCGCTCTCGCAGTGGAAGTCTCGCCACGCTGAGCTCTACAACAGAGCCACAACTCATCATCCTTATATTGTAAGCATCCGGAATGGCTCTGTGGATCTCAGCTGCTACAAACGATGGCTGGTAAGTTTCCAGATGGTTTGCTTCTCTTTGTGATAGATCTGGAGTCATTTTTATGTTTTCTCTGCAGGGGCAAGACTACATCTTTGTCAAGGCGTTCGTGCGTTTCATTGGAAGCATCTTGGCCAAAATCCCGTCCAATGCCAGTGACGAGACGCTCATGACCTTGTTGTCCGGAGCTTCCGCGCTTCATGACGAGCTCCAGTGGTTTCAGAAGGAGGCTTTGGTCTGGAAAATTGGATTGGAAGATCTGCCTCCCAAGAAAACTACACAAGACTACTGCAGGTAGGATCATACATCCCGGAGCTTACATGTTTTTAATTTTCTTCTTGTTCTTCTTGCATGGACATCCATAAAAGATTTCTGGAGGATATGAGCCAACCAAGCGTCGACTATGCCGTCGTCTTGTCCACCTTTTGGGCCATTGAGCATGTCTACTTCGAGAGCTTCGCGTTTTGCCTCGAACCAGGTTCTAAGACACCGCATCAACTCGTGGAAGCTTGCGGGCGCTGGGGCAGTCCGAGCTTCGGCAGCTACTGCGATTTGCTGAGATCGATTGCAGAGGCAGCAGTGGAGAGCACAGGATCAAACGAGGTGAAGCAGCGCGGCGAAGATGCATTCGTTCGAGTACTGCAGCTAGAGAACGAGTTCTGGAACATGAGCACCGACGTCTCGCAGGAATAGGTACAACAGAAGGTCGTTTTCCGAGCACTGGAATAATGGCAGAAGATCGCCCAAGAGCTCGAAGAAAATATTTGTTCTACGTAAGAAGATCACCCAGAGTTTACGCACACGTCCGAGAGTAGCATGTAGGGGCCAGAGTTCTCCGGATCCGAGACAAATGCTTCCTTGGCAGCAGTGGCACCTCGAGAAACGTCTCCAAAATCTCGGCAAGCTCCAAGGAAGGCCGTCCACGCACACTCGTTCGCCTCGAGGCCGAGCCGAGCAAAGTGATCGCTGCTCATCAGGACCTCAGCCTCGAGCAGCTGTCCAGTTCGTCCCAGCAGATCGATCACGCAGACGTAGTGCTCGATCCGCGGGTCAACGCCAAAGTCGGGCCTCATCGATCCAAACAGCCGGAAGCTCTCGTCCAGGAGGCCCGAGTGGCTACACGCCGAGAGGAGCGTCGTCACTGCCGTGTCGTCGGGGAGAATGCCGTGGAGGTGCATCCTCCGCGAGAGCTCGAGCGCTTGCCTGGGATGCCCGAGCTCGCCACACACCGAGATCATCACCGTCCAGGAGACAACGTTTTGCGAGCTGGAGAGAAGATCATCGAAGGTGGCGATGGCGTCCGCTAGAGCTCCCAGCTTTCCATAGCAACCGAGGAGAGCGGTCTCGACCACGGTGCTCGCTGCGAAAGAAGCTCGTCTCACGACGCTCTCCTGCAAGCACCGGAGCAGTGGCAGCGCCGAGGAGGCGGAGGAGGAGGCCTTGCAGGCTTCGAAGACGGTGACGAGAGTGGTCTCGTTGGATCGAACCCCTTCCAGGAGCATCCCGCGGAAGAACACGATGGCATCTCTGGCGGCCTTGCTTTGGACGAGCGCCGCGAGCATGGAGTTCCACAGGTGTGTCTCGATGCTGCTCCACGGCTTGCAGAAGCCCCGAGCTCGATCGAAGACTCTGCTCGCGCCGTGGAGGCTCTCGAGCTTTCCATACAGGTTGACGAACGCTGCGGCGAGTTCTACGTCGGATTCCACAGTGGCTTCATGGCTGGCGATCTCGTGGACGTGTTTAGCGTCTGCGAGGGTCGTGCATGCCTCGGCGATGGCCACCAGCGCGATTCTATCGGGTTTGATGCCTTCTAGATCCATTCTCTTGAAGCAACTCATCGCTTCCTTGCTCAGGCCATTCCGAGAATACAAGGAGATCATCGTCGTCCAGGAAACCACGTCTCGCTCCGCCATCTTTTCCAGAATCTCTCGAGCTTGGGAAAGGGGGTCGCCGCTTTGATCGATCTGAGAGGCATACCCCGCGAGCAGTGCATTCCAGGAGACCACACTTGGCCGTGGCATCTCTCGCAGGATCTTGTACGCTTCGTCGAGGTTCCCGTCCTCCGCATGGATTGTTATCGCTGTGTTCCAAGTGATCGTGTTCTTGAGCGGCATTTTGCGGAACAAAGCCATGGCTTGGTTTATGTTCCCACACTTTCCATACATTTTTATCAGAGCAGTGCCGATGGGAACATCAAACTCCAGTCCAGCAAAACATACCTCTTCGTGTGCCAACCTTCCAAAGTCGAGGATCTTTCCCTGGGCACAAGCGTCGATCACTCCAACGAAAGTGATCTTGTTGGGCTGAAAGCCTTCATGATCCATGGAAACAAAAGCTCCAAGAGAGCTTCTCTCAAGACAAGCACCTTTGTACGCAACGATCAAGGTGTTCCACGAGGCAACGGTTCTAACTGGCATGTCTTTGAAAATGTTTTCCACAAGATCAAGATGCCCGATTTTGGCATATGCTGAAAGCATAGTATTCCATGATACCGCATCTTTATCAGGAATCTCATCGAACAAAACTCTGGCTTCTGAAAAATCATCGTTTTCGGCATATGCCTTTAGCATGGTATTGTAAACCACGGTATCTTTCTCGACCAAGGAATCAAACACTTCTTGTGCTTGAAGCAGATACCCATTCTGGGCATATGACATGATTATCATGCTCCACGAAAACATGTTGCGGTGCTCGATGGTCTCAAACGCCCGCCAGGCCTCCTCCACGCTCCGACACTTCCCATACATCTCCACAACAAGATTCTGGAGAAATCTGTTCTGGGAGAAGTGGCTGCGCACAATCTCTGCGTGAATTTGCCTGCCTTTGAGAAGATCCCCCGGCGCATTGCACGACCTCAGCGCTCTGGCAAAGCTATCTACACGTCTGTGATCGCCCAGCAGCATGCCACAAAGCCATCAAAATCTCATTTTCCCGCCAAGCTCATGCATGGGCATTTTAGGGATCGCAGCTTGAAGGTGGCGGTCAGGCGAGGGAGCGGTTCCAGAGCATTTGGGAGGTGGACAAGAACGTCAAGGCGCCACTTCACTTCTTTGAGATGTTCTCTAGGATTCTTGGGAATACTCTCAGCGATGTGGATGACGATGTTCCACCCTCGCAGATTCTCACCATTATCACAGTTGCCTCTCTCTGGCGTGCCATGGTCGGGGCCATGGTCTTGAGACACTCGAGCACGGCTTTGGGCGCAACCTCCGTCGATCCCTTTCAAGTTGTTTATGTGGCCAAGGGATTGTTCTTCAAGTATTTGGCCGACAGAGGATGGTCTGATGTTAGTCAGCAGGATTGGAAGAAGACATATCGTATATGTGGTGGATGCCCGTTGCTTCTGATAGACGCTGCCAAATCAGCATTGAAGAACCCAGAATTGCTGGAGGAAGAACTAGCTGGAATGGTGGACTCGACGAGAATGTGTATCCTGGTGAAGTGACGGCTCCAAGATGAGAGAGTGCATCTCGATCCACATCGGCCAGGCCGGGATCCAAGTCGGCAGTGCCTGCTGGGAGCTCTACTGCCTGGAGCACGGGATCCAAGTGAGAAAAAAACCAAAAACTTGACTGCCACTCACCGCTAAGAGCTTGAACTCTTCTCGTTTCGCGTGCGAGCAGCCTGACGGACAGATGCCCAGCGATAAGACTGTAGGAGGCGGCGACGATGCCTTCAACACCTTTTTCAGCGAGACCGGAGCCGGCAAGCACGTCCCCCGGTCCGTGTTCCTGGACCTGGAGCCGACTGTCATCGATGAAGTCAGGACTGGAACTTATCGCCAGCTCTTCCACCCGGAGCTGCTCATCAGCGGCAAGGAAGACACCGCAAACAACTTCGCCCGCGGTCATTACACCAGTGAGTTCAGAGGAAAGCTGTGAGAACTTCTGACTCGTTGCCTTGCTCGCTGACAACTGCACCGACCTCCAAGGATCCTCGTCTTCAACGCTGTTCGAGGTGGCACCGGCTCCGGCCTTGGCTCTCTTCTACTGGAGCGCCTGTCCGTCGACTACGGCAAGAACTCCAAGCTCGGCTTCACTCCCCGCAAGTCTCCACTGCCGTTGTAGAGCCATACAACAGCGTCCTCTCCACGCATTCCTTGCTCGAGCACACCGACGTGGCTGTCATCCTCGACAACGAGGCCATCTACGACATTTGCAGAAGCTCGCTCGATATCGAGAGGCCCACCTACACCAACCTGAACCGGCTTGTGTCCCAGGTATCCATAGCTTTGCTCGCACCTGTCTTCCTTCCAAGCACCTATCTCATGCTCCTCCTCTTCCTCCGTGTGTCACAGATCATCTCGTCTCTCACGGCTTCTCTTTGCTCTGAACGTCGATCTTACGGTGTTCCAAACCAACTTGGTGCCGTACCCGCGTATCCACTTCATGCTTTCCTCGTATGCCCCGGTCATCTCGGCCGAGAAGGCCTACCACGAGCAGCTGTCTGTCTCGGAGCTCACGTCCACCACTTTCGAGCCCGCGTCGATGATGGCCAAGTGCGATCCCCGCCACGGCAAGTACATGGCCTGCTGCCTCATGTACAGAGGAGACGTTGTGCCCAAGGACGTCAACTCGGCCGTGGGAACCATCAAGACCAAGAGAACCATCCAGTTTGTCAACTGGTGCCCCACCGGATTCAAGTGCGGGATCAACTATCAGCCTCCGACTGTGGTTCCTGGAGGTGATCTTGCCAAAGTCCAGCGTGCTGTCTGCATGATCTCCAGCTCCACCAGCATTGCAGAGGTCTTCTCCAGGATCGACCATAAGTTCGACCTCATGTATGCCAAGCGTGCCTTCGTCCACTTGTACATCGGCGAGGGAATGGAGGAAGGAGAGTTCGAGAAGACTTGGCAGCTCTGGAGAAGAACTACGAGGAAGTTGGTGCCGACTCCACCGAAGGTGAAGGCGAGGACGAAGGCGAAGGGTATTATCCAGACCAACTTTCGTTGTGAAGGACCGCTACTTTTTGAAGCTCTTCTTCTTCACGTAAACTGTAAAGCTACATGGAAACTCGTAAGTTCCATATCTCAGTTCCTTCTGCGTCTTGTAGAACCAGATGTTGTCGATGGATATTGTCGTGCAATCGATACCCGGTCCCATCTTTCTGGCCTTCACCACCCTGTATGCGTAGAGCAGAACTGTCTGAGATATACTCGATCGTGTTCCTGTAAATCCCATATGTGGTCGACAGCTTCGCTTTGACTCGCAGGAGAAGCAGCAAGGCCTGAAGTCGGACTTGTTTGCGTACTTGTCTAGCTCTCCGCGAAAGTACCTCATCCTCCTCGCTGTTAGCGTTCTTCGTGCAGGCTCTCTCTCGTTGGGATTGGGATTCGTTCACCCTTGGGACGATCTCTCACAAAGTCGAGATCTTAGTCATCAACGTCGAAGTCATCGTCCTTTCGTCCACTTCCTCTTCTTCATTAAAATCCTACTTGAGTAGCTGCGAAGAAAGAAAATCCATGGCTGACAAATTCTTACACCATACCGAGCGACAGAGACGATGGAATCGTGGGGATCGTGCCGTATGACGAATCCATTCGCTAGAATGCTCACTTACGAGAATCTAGGGCGATAGCTCTTCCCTGCCACGTCGGCACAGAAGTGAATTTGGCGTGAATTTGGCGCGAAAAAGACGAGCTTGCCATCGATCGATCGCGATCTATCATGGCAGCGCCGCTAGCAGCTGGTGATTGGGAATGCCACAGGGTTTCCAGCTCCGCCGCTCTGCCATCGTGGTGAGAGCCACATCGGACAAGCTAATGTTCTCCTTGCTTAATCGATGCTATGCTATACATTGTGGAAATTTCTCGAGACTGATGATGGATTGCTCGTTCTTGTGTGGCAGAAATCCGATAGGCAGCTGTGGTTCGCGTCGCCTCAAAGCTTGTCGTTCCTAGATGGAACGTAAGCTCTCTAGAATCCATTCTTTTCGTGAAGATAGAGATCTTTTTATCGATTTCTCTCCTTCCTTACTCTTTCCTGCCTCTCGGACCCGGTGGGAGCTGGAAACCTCATCACTCCCAGCTGGTTATCCTACGCGATGCTGGGAGGGAGGCTCGAAGGATCCAGCGTACCCGGGAGGGATCTTGGATGAGGACGCTCAAGATCAAGGAAGTGAAGTCTTCATCCAGGCACCCTTCACAGGCGTCGGTCCATTCCTAAACTTGCTCGATCATCTAGCGATCCAGTCGGAAACTACTTTCTAAGCGCTCATGATGCTCGTTATAAAGCTTCGCTCCGCCCATACACTCTGGCACACGCATCAGATCTCACTTTCCCGCGAATATTCGAGGAGCTGCATGCATGGAGACCAACACCTGGCGATTCCCATGGGTGCCGAATGTAGCCTCTTTTTAGATCCTCACGAAGGTTTTGTTCTTCCCATGGCTCTAGCGACTCTTGCAAGGAAATTGGTGCTCAATCGCCCTCCTCTTCCAGCTTACTCGCGAAGGACCATCCCTCCTCGCTATTCTTCGTTTCGTCTCCTGCAATCCAAGGTATAATTCTTCCCTTTTGCAGAGTTATGATCGACGCGTGATCGATCAACTGGGATCAATTACAATCTGTGTCGCTTTGCGATCTCTTCATAAGTCCTTTATTTCGTCGCAGGGAGGATTCATGGCGCAGCAGCAGCAGCACCACGAGGAAGCGTCGGCCAAGGGCGGGAGTAGCAGCGACATCATCGAGCGCATCAAGAAGGATCACGAGGAGCTGGACGACTACTACAAGTACTACAAGAAATCGCTCAAGGACAGCGATGGCGAGGCGGCGCTCAAGTGGTTCAACCAGTTCGTGTGGGAGATTTGCCGCCACTCGGTGTCCGAGGAGCTGGTCCTCTACCCGATGATGGAAACCATGGGCGATCGAGGCAAGAAGCTGGCCGACAAATCCCGCGAGGATCACCACAAGGTGAAGGAGATGCTCGCGGAGATGGAGTCGATGAGTGACGCCAAGGAGATGGAGCCCAAGATGGACAAGCTCATGGAGGAGCTCCGCGAGCACATCAAGCTGGAGGAGAGCGAGGATCTGGCGCTGGTGGAGAAAGAGGTGGGGCTTGGCGCGCGAGAGACCGCGGGAGCTACGTTTGCGCTGGGCAAGAGCATCGCGCCGACGAGGCCACATACCATGGTCCCGGAGAAGCCGGTGATGGTGGAGGCTGCGCTGGGTTTGCTCGCGACTCCCATGGATAAGCTGCGTGATATGTTCACGAGCTTTCCCAAAGCTTGATCGGCTATCGTTTGATCCTCCGCCATTGATCATGACGAAATCTCCAAAAACAACATAGTAACAATGATATAGTTTAGGGTTCTTATTCTCTCTCTTGTGGAAGATTAGGGTTTTCCTTTTGGCGCCAATGGCGATCTATGCTCCAGGGGCCGCAGGTCACTGCCGGGAGCGATCAATCTCCTGGCGGTTTTGTGAGCAGGAGGTATGATGATCCGGGGAAGCGACCGGCGTCCTCCACCGGATCAATCGACGATCTTCGGCGAGCAGCTCAATGCGTGCCGGGATCTGTCACAGGTTAGGGCGATACATTCCCAAATCCGCGACGGAGGCCACGGCACCAGCAGATTTCTCGGCAACCAGCTCGTCAAGATGTATGGCCGCTGTGGCAGCGTGGAGGAGGCTCTGGCCGTCTTCCAATCCATCCGGGATCCCAATGTCTACTCGTGGAACCTCATGATCTCGGCCTACGCACGCAACGGGCATCTCGGCCACGCCAGAAGCCTCCTCGACAAAATGCCCCACCGCAGCATCGTCGCCATGAATTCGATGCTCACGGCGTACTCTCGGGTTGGATTGATCCGAGAGGCGCGAGATCTCTTCGACTCGATCCAGGACAGCGAGAGGGATGTGATCTCCTGGACGGCGATGGTGGCAGCGTATGCCCAAAACGGGCATATCAGGGAAGCGAGGAAGATCTTTGAGAAAATGCCCGAGAGGAATCTCGTGTCGTGGAATTCGATGGTGTCTGGGTACGCTCAAGCCGGCATGGTCGTCGAGGCGAAGAAGCTCTTCGATCAAATGCCTAGAAGGGATTTAGTGTCATGGACCGCGATGATCACAGCATTTGCCAAAGCTGGGCAAGGCAAGAACGCGATCAAGGCATTTGGGCTCATGGATCTCGAGGGATTTCAAGCCGACAGCGTGAGCTTCGCCGCTACGATCGACTCCTGTGGTGATCTGAAGGATGGGCGACTCCTACACGCCGATGTTCTTGTCAGTTCCAGCGCTGGAAGTGACGTGATTGTGCTCACCTCGCTCGTTGCCATGTACGGCCGGTGTTTCAGCGTGGAGGAAGCTCGTACGACATTTGACACGATGAAGAACACGGGCTTGATCCAGAACAGTGTCCTTCCGTGGAATGCGATGGTAGTGGCGTACGCTCAGAGTGGTCGCGGCCAAGACGCTATCCGGCTCTTTCTCGCCATGGATCTCGACGGCGTCCTTGCCAACGAGTTCACATTTGCCAGCGTCTTCGATGCGTGCTCGAGCTGCGGCGCTGCGTCACTGGCTCACGCGAGGATCATCCACTCGACTCTGGTGGAGGAATCAGAATCGCTGCCGAGTTCTTCGATGGACGACGTGGTGGTGGGGACTGCGCTCGTCAACATGTATGGAAAGTTCGGGTGCCTGGAAGATTCAAAGCGGGTTTTCGACGCGATGACGAGCAGGAATGTGTTGTCCGTCACTGCGATGATCGAGGCGTACTCCCAGGCGGGTCTCTCGCGGAAGAGTCTCGAGGTTTTCCGGGAGAGCACGGGAGTGGAAGGACTGGAGCCCGACGCGGTTTTGTTCGTCAGCGTTCTCTCGGCTTGCAGCCACGGAGGATTGCTCGCCGAGGGCTGCCAGATCTTCGTGTCTATAGGAGCTGACTATGAGATGATCCTCAGGGAGGATCACTATATGTGCTTGATCGATCTGTTGGGGCGAGCTGGGAAGATCGACGAGGCCGTGGAAGTGATCAGCAACATGCCGTATGAGCCCAACTCCGTGTCGTGGACGAGCTTGCTCAGCGGGTGTGCTACGCAGGGTAGCGATTTTGCGCGACGAGCAGCGGACAATGCCATGAAGCTCGAGCCGCGAAACTCTGGAGCTTACAAGCTTTTGGTCCAATGCTAGCGTAATTTGTAAATGATGTAACTTATATTATGGCTACTTAACTTTAGAGAAAATAATTCTTAAAATTCAAAAGTATTTTATTGTGATATTCTAGCATATGCTCTCCAACGGTTAATATTCAAATAAAAAACAATATATAAAAGGTTTTAAAGCATTACAGCATAATAATCTATATTATCGACAAGAACCCTAATCATTCACTGGACCGTGGACAATTGAGGTCGTCGCTCCACTTCTCGCTCCCGACGCAGTGATGGCAGCGAAAGAGGCCGGATGGATCCACCTTGCTCTTGATGGCCTGGAGGCGAGGGTAGTGCTCGCCGAAGAAGGATTGCTGCCAGTCCGGCTCGTTGAAATCCGCCTCGTTGATGTAAGTTCCCGATCCAGGCGTCAGATCGATGAGCAGCTTGTTCGCGGCGCTCACATTCCTTGCAACCTCGCGCTGCTCCTCCAGGCTCGCCCCATCGCTCCAGCCGCTGCTGATAATCGCCAACAAAAGGGCTCGGCGCCATGCCGGATTCACGGCATTCTCCTCTCGCGGCCTTGCCACTGCTCCGCCGGCCACGAATGCGCCCAAGATCGACGCCGGGTAGCGCTCCAGGATCGAGATCAGGGCATCCGACAGCTGCTCCACGGATTTGCGGCTGTCGAAGAGGGATTTTGGGATCAGCCTGGAGGAGAGAGCGGCCGAAATAGCGGAGTTGTTGGAGTTGACGCAGGAATTCTGGCCTCCACACAGGAATTGCGAGTAATACTCTTGGAACGATGAAAGAGAGACCACGCTCCCATTTCCTTGGAGCTTTGGATGCTTCTCAACGTAGTCCAGGAACGGTGCTAGCGTCGACTTTGCGAAGGACACGTCCTTGTTGGGAAGAATATACAAGACCAGCAAGGTCTGCCTGGAGAGTTGCAAGCTCTGGCTGGACAGTAGGAAGTATCCCGACCATCCAGCTTCCGAGAGACTGGGATGGATCACGGCAAAGTTTGTGAGCAAGTCCAGGAAGCTGGATCTGTCGGTGGCATTGATGGTGTAGACAGCGAAGGCGAGATTTGTCAGCGGTGGATGAGTCCGGTGTGTAGCGGAGACCACGACTCCAAAAGTTCCTCCTCCGCCTCCTCGAAGAGCCCAGAAGAGATCCTCGTTTTGGCAGCCGTTAGCAACAACGAGATCTCCAGCAGCAGTCACTACTTCATACTCCAAGACATTGTCCGCTGCGAGGCCGAAGGCTGGAGAGATTGGACTGTGTCCAGCGGCCTGTGGATATCCACCGGCAGCTCCAACAGTAACACCCCCAGCCCCGACGATCACTTTACCTTGCTTGAACACCGCCTGGTAGAGCTCCTCCCACTGGACTCCAGCTCCGACCGTCACTGCCGATACCGGGGACACTGAGCATCTCTTGGCGACAAAGTCGTCGTGGAAGCTCATGTTCTTCATGTGGTGCGTCCAGATGCTGAGAGATCCAGCCGCAGTGCTCTTTCCAAAGAAGTCGTGCCCGGTGTTCTTGATCACTAGCCGGATGTTCTTGGCGGATGCAAACCTTAC